GAGGTGGTGTCGGAAGCTGAAGAGGCAACAGGGTTTAGTGAGCAGGAAGAGGCTGTGGCAGAGAGCAGTCCAGACTCAGAGGCAGGAGAGGAGAAGGGCCAGAAGATGGAGATGGTATGGCCTGCAATATGAGCAGGCCTGCAATGCTCTGGGACAGCCTTGTAGCTGCCACAAAGTCCTGATGTGCTGGTCCCGGGGGCTAACCGAGAGGCGAGGTCCGATTCCAGTCCAAGGTCGATGTTGCGGTATAGAGGCTGTCCGTCCAAAGCTGTAGCTGGGTCCAAGGCGGGGAGTCGGGTGGGGTCAGGAACTCTGGCAGAAGAGCAGGCGGGAACAGGCTAGCAACAACGTTGCTCCGGCAACCTGAGACTGGGGCTGACTGGCTTTTATCTGCCCCGAGGCATAGGGTGGCCCCAGTCCACAGGTGACTCGCCTCTCCTGGCCTGGAGGCGAGGACTCCTCCTGCAGGAACTTAGTTCCCTCCGCCTCTCTGCCCTGAGCCTCTGCAGCTCAGGAGAGGCTGGAGGGTTACCAGACCCAGAGGCAACCTCCTCTTCCCCTGATGGGGCTGAGAGTGGCGCACCTGCAGGCAATGGGTCCTCCATCACCTCAGGGGCCAGAGCAGAGTCAGCTGGTGCCTGCACCTGAGTATCCAGCACAGCTGAGGACCCTTCAGGCTCAGGCCCCAGCCCCGGCTCAGCTGGATCTGGAGGCGGGGACCCCTGTGCGGGCTGGGATTCCTAAGGTTCAGCCTCTGAGTCTGAATCCCAGGCCATCACACCTGAGCCCAGTCCTGATGTAACGCTGCAGTCCCCCAATAAAATAACACGAGGGTACTCCACCATGTTCAAGACCTCCTCCACCAGCTTAGGCAGGAAAACTATAGGGCAACTACAATGTAGTTCAATCAAATATGAGGGGAAGGCCTTTTGAATACCTCACTGTAGTACTCAGGCTATGGGGCATATTTGGCAGAAGAGGAAAATCCAAGGCCAGCAAGCTCATACCAACAGATCCTGAAGAGCCCTCAGCATCCATCCTCATGATTGCCCATGCTTGCTTGGGCTGGGGGCAACATCTGCAGGGCCAAAGGTTCCCCAGCCTTGCTAGAAATATACAGGTACAGTACAAAAAAAAGTCTTAGATACCAGTCACCACATTTGCACCTCAGATCATGATGTCTGAACCTCCTGCTATACTTACCTGTGCATGTATATATTACAGCATACATCCACAACATTTTCCTGTAGCTCTGGATGTAGTTAACGTAACTTTTGGCAGCTGGGTATCACAAATAATGTGGTAATGAGAAGCTTGTTAACACTTATGTGGAATAATTATTCCTGGCGGCTGCCGACATTCAAACTCGTTTAATAGACACACTGGAGTGTGTTTATTTGTTTTAACATATGGCACTGGAAAACTGATTCCGTGTTTCCTTGTGTTTTTATTTTCCATCAGGCCAAGAACCAGTCCCACCATCTGCCAGGCCTACAACAGTCTTTAAGTACTTTGAGTGTGTCTCTGTTGGAGAGTTAAACTAGTGTAACCATCATCTCCCCTTTGCAAGTAACTCCGGTCATTTTAGTTCTGTGAGGAGGCCTAGAGATCTCTAGCAGAGGATACATTGGCTGAAGCAAGGACAGTTAAGCTGGAATAAAATCAAAATTCTAGGGACGTTCACACTCAGTATGTTTGTACCATCATACCTCAAGTTACAGATGCTTCAGGTTGCGTTGTTTCGGGTTACAGACCGCCGAAACCTGGAAGTACCAGAACGGGTTACTTCCGGGTTTTGGCCGTCGCTCATGCGCAGACGTGCCAAATTGCAACCCGCGCGTGCACAGACGTGCCGCTGCTGGTTGGGGAAACCCAGCCAGATGGGCGGGGTACAAATAATAAATTATTATTATTATTATTATTATTATTATTATTATTATTATTATTATTATCACGTTCACAACCCGAGCGTCCACTGTACTTGAATACTTGAGCTGAAACGCTTGTATAGTTATTCACATGAGCGTACACTCCGACTACCTGTGTACACAGTACCCGAGCTGGGCAAACTAACAAGTGTGCGTTCTTTCACGCAAACACTTGTACATGGGTAGAGACCGCTGTGTTCAGTGTGTGTGAACAAGCCTATTGTCTGCCCTCCTTTCTCCATTCTCAGACTGTCCTTGTGTTTTCTTTTTTAAATTTTCCTATTCAGTTCTATATTTGCTGCTTCTTCCATGATCTCCAGACACCAGAGAGCGAGCTACTTTTTAAATGAAAGGGGGAAAGGGGGGGAACAGGCCCTGGAAATTCTCCGAAAGAAGACCTCCACCACATCTGGCCTCCCTGTGGCTCCTGTCTTGTGTATAATTGTGTTTTCCTAGTAGTGTCAGGGGGAAGCGGGGACATTGCTCACTTTCCGAAAGAAATGCCAAGGCTCAGGCCTGTGTGGGAGTCTTGCCATCTTCCCTGGAAGGAAGCCTGCTTGCTTCTTAATTCTAAATGCTTCTAATTCTTAGTTGTTGCTTTTTTAAGGCTAGCATATTTCAAATGGAAAGATGCTTCTTCTGGAGCCCCCTTTCCAATGTTGCTCCCCATGCATTGCTAGATCTCAGTGGTTATTTGATGGGCAGGCACTTCCTCATGCAAATTATAACTGAACCATAAGGTGGAAATCAAAATAAGGGCCGGCCCTACTATTAGGCAACTGATTTTGTGTGTCATGAAAGAGCAGGACATTTTTAGTAGTAATAAAATAATAATAATGATGATGATGATGATGTTATATTTTTACTGACAGGGCACGGGAAAAACACTGGTGGGATGTCCTGCCTCAGGTGCCAAAATAACTTGACTATTTTGCTGCCTTGGATATTACATACCTTGACTTTGCCTCAGGCGACAATGTCTCTTGAGCCGGCCCTGAATCCAAAGTATACTTACCTGAAAGTTTAACTCCATCCAAATCTAAAGGACTTATCAGAGGATGAGAGACTGTGAAATATGACATCTCTCCCCCCCCCCTACATTTTAATACAAAGGACAAAACTCCCTCTCCCACTCCAAAAATCCACCTTGCAACTCCTGTGTCACCTTCATATTGTTTTCTCACACACACACACACACACACACACCCCGATGTAGCCAGAGCAACTATCGTCCTATCCATACAACACATTCAAAGCACATGGCTTTCCCCAAAGAATTCTGGGAACTGTAGTTTATCCCTCACAGAGCTACGATTCTCAGTACCTTTAAGAAACTGTTAAGTTGTGGGCAAACATATCAGACGACACAGCGATTCTTCCACAGCATCTCTATTTGTAAGCTGGAACAGAACTGAACTGAGGAGCTCAGTCAGCCTGCTTATATAGAGCTCCAGAACAATGTAACTGTTGCCATTTTCTAAAACTATCCAATCACTGAACGCCACTTTCGATCCTTCATTTGCATACAAACTATCCAATCACTGAACGTCATTTTCGATCCTTCATTTGCAAAACTATCTACAGTATCCCCCTGCTGGCCCAGGGTGAGAACTTCAGTACATAACAGAAACTACAGCTCCCAAAAGTCTTTGGGGGAAAGATAGTGCCTTAAACGTATGATGTTTATGCACTTGAGCAAATATGCAGTCAGCACAGTATATCAGTGTAAATTCAGACTTTCTGCAACTGCAGTATAAGCACAAGCTTCTTCTAGTTGTATTGTTTTACAGTGCAATACTATGCATATTATGGGATGCGGATGGCGCTGTGGGTAAAAGCCTCAGCGCCTAGGGCTTGCCGATCGAAAGGTCAGCGGTTCGAATCCCCGCGGCGGGGTGCGCTCCCGTTGTTCGGTCCCAGCGCCTGCCAACCTAGCAGTTCGAAAGCACCCCCGGGTGCAAGTAGATAAATAGGGACCGCTTACCAAGCGGGAAGGTAAACGGCGTTTCCGTGTGCGGCTCTGGCTCGCCAGATGCAGCTTGTCACGCTGGCCACGTGACCCGGAAGTGTCTCCGGACAGCGCTGGCCCCCGGCCTCTTGAGTGAGATGGGCGCACAACCCTAGAGTCTGTCAAGACTGGCCCGTATGGGCAGGGGTACCTTTACCTTACTATGCATATCTACTCGGATATCTGTTCAGTTTAGTGGGACTTAATTCCAGGCAAGTGATCGTAATATTGCAGTCTAGGACACTAAAATGGCAAACGTCAACTGCAAAAGAATAACATGGCAGGGCATGTGAAATAAGACTGAGTAAACAACATTAAAATTGTTATGGTATGAGGAGAAACTGTATGGGGGCAATATAATATTTCACATCTCTAGTAATGCTAACATGCACTGACACAAACTTCAGTTTCTCGGGGGGGGGCAGAGAGAGGAAGGGAAAGGCACTTTGTAGATGCTCTGAGGTAATTCTGCTCTGTTAAAAAGAGGTGTGGCTACAGATAGCAGTAAAGGTACCCTTGCCCGTATGGGCCAGTCGTGACCGACTCTAGGGTTGCGCGCTCATCTCGCTCAAGAGGCCGGGAGCCGGCGCTGTCCGCAGACACTTCCGGGTCACGTGGCCAGCGTGACTAAGCTGCAGCTGGCTTGCCAGCACCAGCGCAGCACACGGAAACGCTGTTTACCTTCCCGCTAGAAAGCGGTCCCTATTTATCTACTTGCACTTAGGGGTGCTTTCGAACTGCTAGGTGGGCAGGAGCTGGGACCGAACGACGGGAGCTCACCCCGCCACGGGGATTCGAACCGCCGACCATACGATCAGCAAGTCCTAGGCACTGAGGTTTTACCCACAGCGCCACCCGCGTCCCAACAGATAGCAGAGGAAAGTGTTAAATGGAAGTGAGGATACAAGGCCAGCGATACCTTCAAAAGATGTTTATTATTATTATTATTATTTAGGTGACACCACTGCTTGCAACTCTGATACGAGCTTTTTCTTTCCAGCTTGTAATGTTGAGGCAGATGCTATGCAAAGATTTCTCACGGCGTGATATTGTTTCGTTCACAGGCTCAGACTGCATGAAGAAAAGATAATTAAAGATCGGAGACATCACTTGAAGACGTATCCAAACTGCTTCGTTGCCAAAGAACTGATTGACTGGCTGATTGATCACAAGGAGGCCTCTGACAGGGAGACTGCAATTAAACTAGTACAAAAATTACTGGATCGTAGCATCATTCACCATGGTGAGTGGAAAGAATCAGCACATCCGAGTCCATAGCCAGAAACTATAATTAAGGGTGCAGGCAGGTCTGACCTGGTGATCGTCGTGTGTTGTTAGTCAATATGAAAGAACAAAAACCTAAATAATGATTGTGAAGATTGCTTAACAATTATAATAGCATTTATATTTGGAGTCTTTAGCATGCGTTATTTTAGGGCCAACCCAAACATTGCATTATTCACATTTTTTAAAGAAATAAAAGCCCTGTTTATTTTGAAGAAAAAGCAGCTGGAGTAAATCATCATATATATATTTAATTTTATGTTCTTTATTGAAAAATAAAAATTATAAGTGAACAAGGTAAAACAAGACAAGATGTGACAAGAATAAAAAAGATAAAATAACACCCATGTAGAAAACATTTTTAAAATAAACATTACATGATTGTTATTGTAGTTAACTTAACCTAATATAGTGTTTATAAAAATGAATTCCAAAAATCATTAAATTTGTCCATGACAAGTCTACGTTTGTACATTACATGTTCATGTGTTGCAAGTTTGTGCATATTTTCTATCCATTTGTTGAAGGGGGTGTATATACACACACACACACACACACATATATATACATACACAGTATATATGTGTGTGTGTGTGTTTAATTACTTAAACCCAGGGCTAGCCAATGTTTTGTTCTCCAGATGATGTTGGACTACAACTCCCATCAGCCTCAGCTAACATTTTCAGGGGTCAGAAATTATGGCAGTTGAAGCATAGCTGTCAACGTTTCTGTTATGTACTGAGTTGAATAGGATCCAAAATGCAGCAGTCTGATTGGTCCTAGAACAATAGGATCCAAAATGCAGCAGTCTGATTGATCCTAGAACAATAGGATTCAGAATGCAGCAGTCTGATTGGTCCTAGAACAATAGGATTCAGAATACAGCAGTCTGATTGGTCCTAGAACAATGCAGCAGTATGATTGGTCTGCAGGAGCCACCCAATCCAGCTCCAGATGGAAGTGAATCCACAACCTGATTGGCCTACAGGAGAATTCCGGAATTAGCCAATCATGTGCAGCTCATTGTGTAAATAATGTATATAAAGCAGATACTTTGGGGAAACTTCCATTCCTCCTCACCACTATGAGCTGAATAAAGAACATGAAATCCACTCTCGAGTATATTTCAGTTTCCCTTTTTTAAAGGGAAATTTCCTTATTCCAAATAGGATTCCTTGCAAGAAAAGGGAAAAGTTGACAGCTATGAGTTGAAGTCCAACAACATATGGTGAGCCACATGTTGGACAATATCATACCCCATGCACAGATAAAATCCATAGGTCTCTCTTACCCACAGTCTCAAAATCTGAATAAAAAGAAGAGACTTAACACTAGTTTGATAGGGGTACATGAAAGCAAAAAAGAAAATTTGCAAAAAATTAAAATAAGATGTGTTAATTAACCTAACGAGAAGAAAAGAAGCAAAGGGAGCAAAGCAGAGGGGGGGGAAAAGGGGGCCATAAGAAATGATGAAAAACATGAAATTGCATAAGGGAGTTTAGTGAAGGAAGATAAGAAGGGGTAGAAATCTGAAGATAGTTGAAACTTATAAGACGTTTTGGATAAATATTGGACAATAGAAGAAACTGTTAAAGAGAAATATACAGAGATTTGAGTGCATAAAAGAGAATGAAATAAGTGGACAAAGGAACTGAGAACAGAGATAGGCTGAAGCTGAGAGACAAAAAGACCAGTAATTGATTGGCTGTGTTCACATGTAACAATAAATTTGGTTTTGTAGCTTACGATAAATGAAGATCTAGCCACTGCATGCTGCCCACTTGCTTCGACTTCACTCCTCCCCTGGTGTAAGCAGGATAAACAAACGGGATTGTGGTTTGTTGCTTCTGAACAAGATGCCATTCGTAAGTCGGCAACAAACTATGGTTTCAGGTTGGCCAGCGATCATGACTCTCTAGATAGCAACGATTCAGGATCTCATCTTTGAACGTAAGGTGGGAATTCAAGTTTAGCTCCCCTGGTTTGTTTAGCCTGCGCACACCAAAGTGGGAGCAATTGGGCAAATTGCTTATTCGTCATAAACCACAATAAGCCAGAAACCTATCATTACCTGTGAACATGGCCATTGATCACAAGATAGAAAGAGTCTTGGTAAGCGGTGCAAACCTATGGCGGGGCCCTGTTTGTGGATTGCCCTCCCTTCTAAGAAATGGGTGGTGTTGATTCTTATTAGTTCACAATGCAAGCTGAAAGTCCACTTGTTCACTTAGGCTTTTGTTTGGTGTTGCAGTTTAAAACAGGAATGTGTGTGACATTAACATATGAGAGTGCTGGAAGTGAAATAGTTAAACAGGTTGCCCAATCAGAACCCAGGGGGGTGGAGTCAGAGGGACTATAAAACCAGCTCTGGGAGGGGCAAAAGGAGCAGTTCGTTGGGTGGTTGGTTGGAGTGGGAGTGAATTGGGATAGAGTCTGTGGGTAGGTTGAGTTAGTGTAGCGAAATAAGCTGAGTCAGGAACAGTTAGGAGCTAGGAAGACAAGTAAATATCTGAGAGGTGGTTTAGTGAGTGAGAGCAGGTAGCGGAAGTTATAGGTCTGGATAGGCACCCCATGATTGTAATGGACTGATACTGCTTATGAAACCACACGCTTGTTAAACTGCAATACATAAACAGAAGTTTATGTTCCAATTTAACCCTGACTGGACTCAGTATTGTCCCAGGTAGGGCCTGGGTGGTGGCAGCGAGAAATAAAGTGGTGGCACAGGGATCAATAGATGGTGAAACATCTGGGGACCCTGTGTGATTGCCACAATGAGGATTAGATGTTATTCTGTTTCCGTGTTACACTGGTTTTAATATGTATTATTTATTTATTGTTGTATGCTGCTTTGAGTTACTTTTGTGGGGGGGGGGGAAGTAACCTATAGGTTTAATAAATAAATAAAGTGGAATAGAACTGATACTTCTTCTCTTTCAGTGTGTAAACTTTCCACAAATGACTATTTGTGGGTTACTGGAGTCAGTGTAGCGGTTAGAGGATCAGGGAGACTTAAACTTAAATCCCCACTCAACTATAAAGCTCTGTTATACTCCAGCTTAACTTATCACACAGGGCGCTATGAAGATAAAATGGTGGGGGACAGAGAACAATAAAACACCACCCCACACTCTTTAGAGGAAGGGTGGGGTAAAAATGCAATAAACTATAATCAACAGATTTTTTTTTAAAAGGTCAGTAATTCCCCCTGCCTATAAATGGCTGCGGATAATACAATAAAGTAGGAATACGTGCAGAGCTTCACAAACTAAGTTTTTTTTTAACGAAGTACAATAAAAGGTCAATCGTTTTTGTGGTTTTATCTGAAGCCTGTTGTTTTTTTTGTAAAGAAAAACAATGCTATAGTATCTGCATCGCTTCCAGATTCATAATGATGATTACTGCAAGTTCTTGATGTGAAGTGTTTACTATTTCTTCTTCTTCTGGGTTTTGCACTTCAGTTTGCGATGAGCATAAGGAATTCAAGGACCTCAAACTTTTCTACCGCTTTCGGAAAGATGATGGAACGTTCCCACTTGACAACGAAGTGAAGGCCTTCATGAGGGGACAGAGGCTCTATGAAAAGTAGGTTGCACACAGAACGTTGACAGTGTTAGCTGCTCTTTATCGGCTTGCGTTGATTAACAACTAGAAAAACGGTCTTACATTCGTAGGTTCTTGCTGAATTGCATTATCCTTCATTAAGAACGGCATCTTCCATCTCCTCAGTTTTCCCAAGAGAAAGGTTATACTGACAGAGATGAGTCCTGAGCATATAATTAAGATTTGAAACAGATGGTTGGATGGAGATTCTGAATATCCTGTCAGATTATATGGGTCAAATAACAGAGGAGTTTGCCACCTGCGACGAGGTCCGTGTCATATTTGCTCAGACTGAAGGGGTTGTTTGCAGCATGCCTGATTTAGGCGCAAGTAGCAACAAGTACAACATGTGAGCTGACATTTACTGGAAATGGATATGCAAAAGGTGAACAGATTGGTCAATTCATGAGGGGTGTTGTGGTACAAAACACTAGCATCCATGAGCAGCACACGTGGCTCTTTCAGGTGCAAGGAACAGAGTGAAATGTGTTTTTATTTGTCTGACTGCGGCTAGGGATGGACCAACGTGTCAGCTTTGTTTCCTCTCATTTTCTCGTTTCCACAAACTTAAGTTCTGTCTTCTGCATTACTCTGCAATTTTCCTAAGTCCTCAAGACAACACACCAGCATTTTAGTGTGAATTTCTTATTAACATGCACGTTTGTATGGAATTTTGCCTAATATATGCGCTTCTGCAAAACAATTTCCCCTGAAACAAAGCATTTTTTCTGTGTTACTATTACCAATAAACCAAAAGATACCTCAGTTCCCAAACGCCATATATAACCAACTTAAAGGTAAAGGTACCCCTGACCCTTAGGTCCAGTCGTGGACAACTCGGGGGTTGTGTCCGACTCTTCGTGACCCCATGGACCAGAGCACGCCATGGACCAGAGCACGCCAGGCACTCCTGTGTTCCACTGCCTCCCGCAGTTTGGTCAAACTCATGCTGGTAGCTTCAAGAACACTGTCCAACCATCTCGTCCTCTGATGTCCCCTTCTCCTTGTGCCCTCCATCTTTCCCAACATCAGGGTCTTTTCCAGGGAGTCTTCTCTTCTCATGAGGTGGCCAAAGTATTGGAGCCTCAGCTTCAGGATCTGTCCTTCCAGTGAGCACTCAGGACTGATTTCCTTCAGAATGGATAGGTTTGAACTTCTTGCAGTCCATGGGACTCTCAAGAGTCTCCTCCAGCACCAGAATTCAAAAGCATCAATTCTTTGGCGATCAGCCTTCTTTATGGTCCAGCTCTCACTTCCATACATCACTACTGGGTGATACTGTCACCAGATAGGGGATTGTAAATCTTTAGGCACAGAGACAGAAAACAAGTACGGTAGGTCAATTGTTATTCATCTGGTCACCAGTGGTAAGTAAACATCTTCGCCAGGCCACCATGATAAATTGAATGTAAGCTGGCTGTCAGGTTTAGCGTTTCTTCCACATAAGACATGGAACACTGACAGTTTAAGTAGCTGAGGTTTATTTCTCAATAACAGGCTTATAGCAGTCCAAGCTTCCACAACACATCAGTTGACTCGACTAGCTTCTGACCCCTCCCAAGGCCAGATATACGCCATGTCCTTCCCCGCCTTCTGCTCTAATCGCTTGCTCCGCCTCCTACTTCTTGGCGACTCAGGTGCACCCAATTCCTCCTCCTCTGGAGATTCCTCTCTGCTGGGCGTGTCCCTGACACTGGCTGTATTTTTCAGGTGGTTTCTGTTCTTTCAGGTAGTTGACTCACAACAGATGGTAAACAAATAAGTGGGCTAGTAAAACACTGAGAAGGATAGTGACTTTTTGGATTATATGTGTGAGGCAGACAGAAGAGTCGGGTTGTTTTTATTTTGTTTTCATTTTGATTATGATTATGGATTTTGTGGTTTTATGTTCTGATTTTATTCTGTGAACTGCCCTGAGACCTGCGGGTATAGAGTGGTATATAAATTCATGAATAATATAATAAGAAGAGCACGAGGAAACTGCGATAATGGTTCCTCAGTTCAAGTACAGTGGTACCTCGCAAGATGAATGCCTCGCAAGACGGAAAACTCGCAAGACGAGAGGGTTTTTGGTCTTTTGAGTTGCTTCGCAAGACGATTTTCCCTATGGACTTGCTTCGCAAGACGGAAACGTCTTGCAAGTTTGTTTCCTCTTTCTTAAAACCGTTAATACAGTTGCGACTTGACTTCGAGGAGCAACTCATAGCACGCGGTGTGTTAGCCTTTTTTGAGGTTTTTGAAGACTTTGGTGATTTTTGAAGCTTTTCCAAAACTTTTCCGACACCGTGCTTCGCAAGACGAAAAAATCGCAAGACGAAAAAACTCACGGAACGAATTAATTTCGTCTTGTGAGGCACCACTGTAGGATTGATGTGCTTTTAGTTTGTTTGTTTGTTTTAAATTTCCCTTCTTTTTGTGTTTGTCGTCTTGTTCTGTTTGTTTGCAGTAGCCAGTGAAACAAATTTCCCTTGCTTTTTCAAATGTCAAACACAGCAAATGGAAGGACATGCTGTGTTTTCAATACACTTCCCTAATGCCATAGAAGAATGTTTTCATAAACAGGGAAATTGTAAGGCTAAATGGCTGTGGTTAAAGTTAGATGTTCCAACTTGGAACTCAGCCTAAAATAGATGGGAAAGATGCTCTCTGCCCCAGTGCTAAAAGGCAGAAAGATCCTTCAGATTCTCTCTTCCCCACCTACTTCAAATAACAGTGTTCTAAATAGTGCAGGGTGACCACAGAATTTTTTAATGTAAAGGAAGGCCTGTGTGTTCTCCATAGGTTTTAAGACATGCCAAATTCTACAGCAAGGAAACATGTTTTCTACGCTCAGAATAAATGCACACATGTTATGCTAGCATTAATTTCATTCATATGAACTAATATTGAATTCATATTCAATAAACTAATATTAACTAATATTTAAATAAATGAATATTTGTTTCAGTGTGAATTAACTCAGTCCAACCACTGATTTGTCTAGCCCATTAACTGTTATCCCAAAGTCTAAGTAAGAGTTTTTTCCTATGCTATGTGGGCCCTTTTTAAAAAAGGAGATCGAACCTACAACCTTTCATATGTTGTAAACTGCCCTGTGGTCTTTCTTTTTTGAAGGGCAGTCCTGTTTACAAACGATTTGGTTTACGAACTCTGCAAAACTGGAAGTAGTGTCCCTGTTTGAGAACTTTACTTTGGTCTAAGAACGGAATCCAAACAGTGGAAGGGCACCTGTTGCAGGAGGCCTCATTAGGGAAAGTGCGCCTCTGTTTAAGAACGGTTTCAGTTTAAGAACGGACTTCCGGAACGGATTAAGTTCGTAAACCGAGATACCACTGTATATGCATTTTAAAACTAGAGTAAATAATAATAAAATAGTGGAAAACCAACTCAGGTTTAGTCTTTGAGTGCCAGTAAATACTGTGATAGTGTGTGTCTTTAATATAATTTTCTGTTTCAGTTAGTTTATTCCCTTTCCACACAGAGCCCCCAGGACTGCAAACTACCCATGTGTAGTCATTACATTCTCTGTTTTTTGTGGCAGTCAGCTTTCTTTTGGTTCCTGTTCTATGCCCTATCTGGTGATGTGAGGCTTTAAAGACTACACTGGATGAAACAGTCATTAGGGAATAGCTGTGTGTTAAAAGGGGAAGTAGACAGGATGACTTAACAGGCTTTTCCATTTGAAAGATTCCCATGGTGCTGTTTTATCATCTGAGACTGTACAAAATCTGCTTACTAACAGCACTTTTAAATCCACTTTGTCAGGCTACCTGCAATCACTTTGTCAAGGCAGATGAAGCAGAGCTGTCTAACATACAAAAATCCCATGTATCTCCTGTTATATGTTAGAGCTGTGGCTACAGGTGGCCTTCAGCCTAATTTCATGTAGGCCCTTGCAGGTGGTCAGTTCAGTTCAGGTTTGTGTGAGCTATGCAGTCAGCACCCACTAATGCCACTCTCCACCGCTGGATGTGACCCCCAAGCAAACTTTTAATGTGGGTCAAGAGTGCTTCATAACAAGAAGGTTTCCCACTCCTGCTCTAGAATGACCAAAAATTAAAAGCGGAATGGAGATGGGATCCTGCTTGATTTTTAATTATTGGGATCACTGGTGGGTGGGAACAGGTTTTGTGTGGTACTGAAGCATACACTGGTGGTCTCCAAGTGTATACCCCTTGACTTCCTACAAAAGTCTTAACTAGGTCTCAACTAGGGTCAGGGCCTTTTCAGTACTGGCCCCGACTTGGTGGAACGCTCTGTCACAAGAGACTGCGGGACTTGACATCTTTCCGCAGGGCCTGCAAGACAGAGCTGTTCCGCCTGGCCTTTGGGCTGGACTCAGTCTGACCCTTATGTTTTCCCTCCCCTTACGGTTTTAATCCATGGACTACTTTTAAAATGAGGCTGCATTTTAAATTGCATTTTAACCAGTATAATTTTACTGGTGTTAGCCACCCTGAGCCCGGCTCTGGCCGGGGAGGGCGGGGTATAAATAAATATTTATTATTATTATTATTATTATTATTATTATTATTATTATTATTATTATTATTAAAATAAGTGATTTCTTGCCATTCATCCCTATGTGCATGAAATGTGAGATGAAAAGCACTGCATTTGGGGGGCCAATTTAACAGTAAGGGCAAACCTGCCCCCCTCCCTGCCCCGTACTGACACTTGCAAGAGTTCCCATGGGAAGTGCAACAGGTCTCTCTGTGCACTAAGCACAACACAATGCCCATTCAGCCTTACAGGTGCAAGCCCTCCCTACCCATCCACCCCTGCAAAACTAAACATAAAAGAGAGTGTGTGTTCTAACATTGCACCTAGCTCTTAAAATTGCTTATAGAACCTGTTAGGTGGTCTGCTCAGGAACAAGATCAAGACAGGCAGGGAGGGGGAACTGAAGCTTTTCCTTCTTCCATTCCACTTTCAGTGAGAGTCAACACTCCAAAACTGATGTTGCTGTGAATACCAATGGG